GGGTTGGGGTGGGGTGGGGGTTGGATGGCGTTGAGCGGGATGCAGGGGCCGCTCAAGAGGGTTGGAGGGAAGGGGGCCAGCAAGGCGTCTGTGCGGGACCGAGGCGCTGTGCTCTCTGCGCGACAGCCGTCCCGGGGCAGCACAGGGGAAGCGGACCCGCCCGGCCCACGGCAGCGCGCGGCGCGGCCGCGCCGTTCGGCCGCGCCTGCAGCAGCGGCCCGGGATCCGTCCCGGCGCAGGCCCTCCTCTGCACGCCGGTGCCTGTCATCCGCGCGTTCTCCCAACCGGTCCCCTCGGCCCGGCCCAGCCGCGCAGCAAGCCGCCGTCTAGCGGACAGCGCGCCGGTCCCACCCCTTCAGGAAAGGCACACCCTGCGCGCCCCCAAGGCCAGCGCGGCCGCGCGCCCACCTTGATCAGTGTGAAGGCGCCCATGACAAACGCGGTGACGAGGGTGACCGCCAGGTTGACCAGCTGGAAGGGCCTGACGCCGACCTTCTTTGAGGGGAACACGATCTCGACGTCCGCCATTGGGGTCTCGCCAAACACCTGGTGGAGGAGGGGGGGGGGCGGGGCTGGGTGTGAGCGTGAGTTGGTAAGCGCGTGTATGTGCGTGTGTTGTGCGTGTGTTGTGCGTGTGTTGTGTGTGTGCGCGCGTGTGTACGTGCGTGTGCGTGTGTGTATGCGTGCGTCAGTGTTTTTGTGTCAGAGATGCTGGGTATGCCAGTGAGGCGAGCACAAGGGGGGACGGTGGTAGCTGGCAGGGCGGTCGTCCAGGTGGCCAGATCCTCAGGGGCCGGGGGTGTTGGCTGTACCTTGACGTAAATGTTGCGGTAGTTGAGGATGCCCTGCATGCGCTCAAACTTGTTCTTGTTGGGGGCGTCGGAGCCCGCGGACGGGGCCTTGCGCTCCGGCAGGGCGCGCCTGCGGTCAACAGCATGGTGACAATTAAGGGAGGGGGGCTGCAGGAACAGGGGACATGATGCGAAAAACGTGAACGCATCTTAAGCCACGCGGCGGAGAATGGGTCTGCGGCTGGCGGCGGGGCGGTGGCCCGTACCCCTAACACCAGGGCGGTTGCTCTGTGCGCTGGGGAAGGGGTGCATTATGCCCCGCTCACCCCTGCACACACAGGCATAAGCCACACGCACACACCCACACACATACATACACACAATCACACGCAAACACATACACGTATACACACACACTCTCACACACAATCTCACACACACACACGCGCACACACACACACACACACACTGCACACACACACACACGCGCGCGCGCGCGCCCCCACCTGTACACCACCACCACGTCCTGGAAGGTCGGCTCCTGCAGCTCAACGGTCTCAGAAAACCCCTTGAGCAGTGACGTCACTGTTGGGAACCGCCGCTTCAGCGTCATCCGCTCCACCACCTAGTGCCGCGTGGCGGGCGCCGCGGCGAAGCAGCAGCGGCGACGGCGGCGGGGCACGAGGGTCGGCGGACGGCTGGGGCGCGCCAGCATCGATTCAAACTCTATTGCACCGCCGCGCAGTCCACCAAGCGATGCGGCCTGCCCGGGAATACACAAGTGCAACAAGTTTCGCCGACGGGCTCCCCGCCTTCCAAGCAGCATCGCGTGCACGTGCGCAGCTGCCCGCCACGCACCTCCCCTCCCCCCTCACCTTGGCATATCTGTGGTCCGACGCGATGTACTGCCCAGCCGTCACCTTGGCGCGCGCCACTGTGTACTGCCGCCGCAGCCTCGCCCCCTCATCCGCCGACGCCGAAGCGGCCGCGGCCGCAGCCGCCGCGGCCGCCGCCGCCGCGGGAGGCGGCGGCCGGCCGCCGGCCCAGGCGGGCAGCTTTGCGCGGAGCGCGTTGAGGGCCCGCACGAGCGTGTACTCGCAGAGCAGGTCGATCTTTTCCTGCCAAAATACGCCCTTGAGCTTGGCGAGGCCCAGCCCGCGGTGGAACACCAGGATGCGGTCGGCCACCTGGCGCGATGATGAGGGCGATGTGTGCCGAGGGGTGACACGGCAGTTGGGCAGCATCGGTTGGGGCGGGCCAGTGGGGTGCGGCGCGGTGTCCGTGCACGGGGCCGCACCGCTGCCGCGACGCAGCCTGACAGAGAGCGCCCAAGTCGCTCACACCCCCCATTCCTCAAAAGCGCATCACCCCCCCCCCCCCCGCCCTGCCTGTCATCGGCGCCCCACCTCCTCTGGCACGTGCTTCCGCAGCTCCCGCCTCTCAGGCGTCGACGCCCAGAACCTCTTGAGCAGCTTCTCGTCCATGTAGCCCCACTCCACCTCCAGCGGCAGCGTCAGCTTGAAGGACTCGGACAGGGCCAGCTCCCACTCGGCGCGGGTGAGCATGTGGTAGTGGCTGGCGCGCAGAACATCAAAGACGTCGCCCACAAATTCAAGCTCCTGGATGGAGGGGTTTGGTGGTCGAGGGGCGCGGAGGCGGAGGGGCACGGGTCGGCGGGCGGGGGGTGGGCGGAAGTGTATGGGCGGCAGGGATGCGCCGGGGCGTGCGAGGGTGTGGGTGTGTGTACGCGGGTGTGTGGTGTGAGGACGAGAGAGCGAGCGCGTGCGCCGCAAATACTCAAGGCCAGCGTGGGTGTTGCAAAGCAAAAGGGGGGATGGCATGACACGCGTTTGCGCTCCGGCCCCGCTCCTGTCCCCCCCTCCCGACAGGCCACTGCAGGTGGCGACCACACATCAGCGCACTTTTGTGTCGAGGACGCTTGTGGTGGGCATGCCCTTCGAGTTGCGCTGCAGGTACACCTGGTTGCGCGCGCCGCTGGCAAACGGCAGGAAATTGGTGCGCATGCGCTCCTGCGCAGTGGAGGGGGGGCAGCAGCGTCGTCGTGGGGATGGGGCGCATTGAGGCTGCGCGGCGCAGCCCCGCTTACTGCGAGCCGTGCCGAAGGCGCGTGAAGGCGCCGGGAATTGCCAAGGCTGTCGTCTGCGCTGTGTGCACGGTGCGTCGCTTGTGTTCGGCAGTGTCGGCTGACCCCGCTGCGCAGCTGCTTCCCAACTGTAGCCGCTGCTGGCGCTGATGTCATCTGGTAACCAAGCTCGAGTGTCAAACGCAACCACGAGCCATGCCGCCAAACAGAGCCAGGGGAGCGGCTGATAGGCTGAAGGCAGCAGCTGTGCGGAAGCTGCTTGCCTTGAGGTCCATGAAGTCAAAAGACGCCACCCCCTCCATGAGTTTGACCAGGTCGTCGAACTTTGGTCGGTCATCGGGCGCCAGCCGGCCGCGCAGTGCGGCGAGCAGCTCTTCGCTTGGGAGGCTGACATGCTTGTCGGGGTGCATCACCAGGGTGTCGACCTTTTGGGGGGAACGCGGGAATGGGCGGCGGCGCCGCGACCGGCGCGGCCGCATGGGTGGGGTGGACGTGAGTGATGTGCGGGCGCGTGGCGAAGGTGGAAGGCGGAGTCTGCGCGGGGGCGGGGCAGCGGATCTTTGGAACGGAGTGTCTGCCGCCTCATTAGTGGCGCAGGGGTGCGAGCGGCAGCCGCCCGGAAGTGCTTTGGGCTGCTGCATCCGTCGTGCGTTGAAACGCGAGGGTTGTAATGGAGTGCAACTGGTTTGCTCCACATTGTCGTTTGCGGCTGGCACATCAACATGCCTCTCGACCGCTTGCACAACCGCGATGCTGCTTGGTTGTGCAAGCGATCAAGGCCCTGGATAGGCGCGCACTATCGCTGCGCAAGGCTCCAGCGCCCGCTTCGCCCGCAAGCACTGGTGCACTGGCAGCATCTGTCACGCCCTTGGGCCAGGCCGGCGACGGGGATGCCGCTGCAAGGTGCGGGCGCCTGACCATGCGCTCGCAGCCGGCACTAGATAATCCTACATCGCTCATGCTATCATCTCGAGCGCTAGCAACGCGCTGCAACGCAATTTTTAGATCGAAGCAGTCACCAGTCCTCACCCGGCCATTGTGTTGCCCCGCATGCGACATCTCGTTGCGCTGCAGAAATAAAGACCCCGCATGAACTCTCCAAAAAGCCTCGGACCGTTAGATCGCCCCAACTGTTGTGGCCACACCAGAGGGACGGCTGCCGAGCTTCGAAGGCGCAGCAACTAATAGCTGTGGGTCGACTGAGCGATTGCGCTTGCTGGGACCATCTCGGCGTGGGCCTGACCGGCAGCAAGTGGTGCAGCAGCTTCCGAGGAACTGCTCGCTGTGCACACGCCGTCCACACAGCTCTAGCAAAACGACGGCAAAAGGTGTAGTAAAATATTGTGAGATATAGCGGTTTGCTGAAGCGTTTGTGCAGCGAAGCCAAGCGTGGAGAGACAGTGGTAGGAGGGCTGGAGGCAGCCTTACAGAGGAATGACTGGCATCATGCCAGTAAGATGGCTATTTCTAGTGGCTATAGGGCTCCTCGTAGCGCCGGAGCTGGCCCGCGGGCAGAAGCTCGGTTCCTCTCGCTGCGCGATGCTCAGCGGCAAGGGGCGAACTCTGTGCGCCAAGTACGTATCATCAAGAGACTCTTACTCCAAGTTCTCAGCGGCAACGGAGTGGGCCCGCTACGCCACGGACTCTTGTGCGCAGTGGCAGGGCAGGGCTCGTTGGGGCCGAAGAGGCCGGAAGCTCCTATCATGCACGGCAGTAACGCATTAAATGATTGTGACAATTCAATCAGGCATGCACCCACGCCCTCACTCCCTGCTCCTGCGACATTGATGTGCGCGTTGCTTGCTGCTCGCTCGCAGACCTGTGCTCTGGCATCACACCTCTGTGTCTGAACCAGGACATTCAGAGCCCCAGGCCCTTCAATACCACCTGCCGTGTGGTGCCGGACAACACGCCATGCGGAGATACGCCGTCGAGCGTGGCTTATTGCCAAGCAGGCGTTTGCTCATGTGCGCAGCCAGAGGGCGAATGGCCCAATAATCGACTGCCTGGCAGCTGCAGCAGCTTGCGGCCCCGAGGGAGTGAGACGGCGCAGCCTGGGATGAGAGAAAGATTGTTCAAGGTTGATTGGTGGCGACGTTTGTGAAGCGGCTGCATGGGGCAGGGCATTACAGACCTGGAGCTGTCACTCACTCTACAACCCACCCTTCGCCTTGCGCACATTCTTGGCCCAAAACCCCTGTTTGCACCGCAGATCTGACAACAGGCGCGCCCATCCCCTCGCGAGCCGACATAGAAGAGGCGCTGGACGAGCGGGCGCGCATGTTTGACTCCACCACTACCACTTACTACCCAATGCAGCTGCAGCAGGTCGGCGGCGGCGGCGGCGTCAACGGCGGCGGCAGCCAGGCTTTTGGCCCAGCGCTCAACATGAGTGTGTGGGTCGACTATGACACCATCGGCCGCTACATCCCCGCGTCGTTTATAGGCATCAGCAGAGAGTACACAAACGAGTCTGTCTTTTGGGACCGCAACCTCGAGGCGTGGGGCCCGATCCTCGACGTGCTGGGCCCGAGCCCGGTGATCCGCATCGGCGGCGCCAGCCAGGAGGCGCTCACCGCGCCACCGACGGCCGACTACCTGCGGTCCCTGGTGACGCTGCACTGTGCCCTGGGGGTGCGGTACATCATCGGGCTGCCGCTGTTCCAGAATGCGCCGGCGCTGGCGCTGTCGGTCAAGCAGGCGTTTGACAACGCGTTTGCTAACTTTCCGAGCGCCATCATATCGTACGAACTCGGCAATGAGGTGCGCTGTCCCACCTACAGCGCGTGCTTCCTGACTACGGGGTGTCACATGCTGTTAATGATGTATGCTGCGGCTTGGAAATGGCACGGTCTGGCTGGTGATCGCGTTGCAACTGGCGACAGCGCCTAGCAGCAAAGCACTCGAGGTTGCCAGCCCTCGTGACCGCCCACCCACTCGCTACTTAAACCATGGATCCCAAACCCTAAACCCTGAACCCTGAAGCCTAACCTCGGAATCCTCGCCCTCCCCTTCCTCCCTTGTGAACCCCGCAGCCCAATTACTGGCCGTCTGGCGGCTCGGGCGCGTTTATCTGGGGCACCGGTCAGACCGTCTGCACAGCCATAAACTACCCCAGGCAGCCAGACCTTGTCCCAAATGGTGCCGGCATCTTCAGGCCGCCCGGCACCAACGGCGCGGCTGGTAACTACTACCTTTACAACAACTACCGCCCGACTTACCAGCCGTTCAACGCGACCCAGGTCTGCTACACTCCTCGCACCCTGGACTTCTACCCAGGGTGGCAGCGGTACGCGCAGTACTTTGCCATCGCAGCAAACACGGCCACCGGTTGCAATGGGCCGCAGACACCTGAGCAGGCGCTGTGGGCGCGGCCCTACTGGGGGCCGACCCAGCGGCGGCAGAACATCATATCGGGACCGGGCTGGGGGGATCTGAGGGTGGGGGCGCAGAACATCACGCAGCTCATCAACCTTGCAAGGGGTTGCTATTGGTACGAGGCCACGGTGAGTCAAGCCGCCACGGCCAGGGTGCTGTGACTTGCAGAGGGCAGCATTGCACGCCGCAACCCTACGGGCGGGTGTGAGTGCGCGTTCCTGCTGAGTTGTCAGCCTGTTGGCAGAGACTCTGGGCTGTTGTTGGCTGCAGCTTTGCTGGGTGAGCAGCTGGACGGCCCAGTTTGAGGAAATCCATCACGCGAATTATTTTCCTGCTCGCGCCTGCCCACGCGCCCTTCCCCCCCCCCCAAACACACCCCTTCAGGTGCATTACTACACCCGGGTCAGCAACGCCAATGCGACCATTGCAGATCTGCTGGACGACCTCAGACTGGACGAGGCGGTGCGTGACGTGTCCCTCATTGTTAATGGCATCGTCAACTCCGACCAGTCGCGCCCGGCCTCTGAGTCATCGCGCGTCCGAATCACTGAGGCCGGCTCCGTCTCGGGCGGCGGCAAGAGCGGCGTTTCCAACGTGTTTGCGGCGGCGATCTGGACGGCCGAGGTCGCCTTCCGCTTTGCCGCAGCGGGCGTCGTCGGCATCAACTTCCACTGGGGCAACGCGGGCACGTACCAGTACCCGGGTGCGGAGCCGGCGTACATCGGCGTGAGCAACCGCTTCCTCAACAACGACGCCAACAGGCCCTACCCAGTGGTGCGCGCGCCGTGGTACGGCTACCTGCTGTTCTCGCGCGCGACCGGCAACAACGGCCAGGCTGTTGTGCTCAATGTGCCGGTGCCGTCGCAGTTCGGGCCCTTCGGCCCAAACTGCTCGGATGCCGTCAACGTGTACACGTTCTTGCTGCCAGGCACTAGCGAGATCAGTGTCACCATCATCAACAAGGGGGAGTCCATCAACTGCCAGATCGCCATTGCGCTGAACGGGAAGTTCCCAAACGGCACCGTCACCCGGCTGCTGCCCGGCCGGGACGGCATGCGCTCCACCAGCGGCATCACGTGGGGCGGCACGACGTACGAGGGCTCGACCAACGGCCGCCTGCGCGGCACCCCGCGCAGCGAGGTGGCGGTGGGCGTGTTCAACGACCCGGAAGTCGGCAACTGGACGACGACTTACACCGTCGACGTGCCGCCGGCGAGCGCCGCGCTGCTGCTGGTGCCCACCGCGGACGGCGGCACGGAGACGAGCGAGCCCGCGCGGCTGACGCCCGAGGAGCAGGAGCAGGCGGATTACGAGAAGCGGCAGCGGGCGAACGCGGGGCTGTTTGTTCCCGCGCTGCCGCCGGTGTACGGGTCGCTGGGGACGCAGTATCGCGCCGTGTTTGGCCAGAATGCAGAGGCGGAGAGGGTGGGGCGCGGGCAGTACGCGCTCCAGTCCGATGGCACGTACCGCCCCGTCAACACGCCGCTGCCCAGCGGGCCTGTGACGCAGGGCGCGCCGAAGGACGGTGGTGCCGGCATAAGGCAGGCCAACGGCGCTTGCCCTGGGATCCAAAAGATCATGGACGTTCAAAGAAAGGGCACTCTGGAGCGCAACCTGTTTGGCCAGGGCCAGAGGAGGAGGCACTGATGTGCTTGTGCTACAAAGCCGCGTGCATCTGCTGGGTGAAGGTTTGCAACCTTGCAGCTGCAGCTTTGGGGGGGGGGCTCAAAACCCACATCACTAATAAGGGAGTCTCTCTGTGCCTGTATATGTCAAATCACATAATGAGGCTGAAATAACGCCTCCATTCCTCATGCTTACATCGTGGTTATTTTGATTGGTAGCTGAATTGAGGTTGTCCTCAGGTGATTAGTCAGCCCACGCAGAGTGCGCTGGCCTTGACATGCACTGCCAGCCCAGTGCCGCTGTATGGGGTTCTGCGCCCTGCTTTGGGTGCGCCTTGCTGTGTTGCTGCAAAGTACCTCAAACCCCTTACCCTCTTGATTGTTTCCCCTTACATCGCCGCGTCTGGCTTGTCGAATTGGAACTACTTCGTCACATTTTTGGGAGCCCTTCGCTGCCCTCAGCGGTCACAGGTGCTCAACCTCACCGCACGTGGCCTTTCAGGTTTCATGGTTAACTTGATGTTTACAAGTGTCAAACCACAACTTATCGAGTATTTGACATGTACTTGACAGTCCTAGCAGGCAACAAGCAGCGCTTTCGCCCCTGGCGCCAACGCGCACAGACGCCTTGCATAGTGTGACTGCTGGGTGACATGCAACGTTGAATGACATATAATTTGATGTCACAGCCTACCATCGGCAGGGGTTGCTTCTTTCCGCTTCGTATCCAGGCTTATGATGCTATGATCAAGCATCTTGACTAACCTGCCGCACCGGACTGCAGCAGCATGTCATGTGTGCAACCGATGACCGACAGCGCACACCACTAGCATTTCAGGGACATGTGGAATTTTTGTTACAGAGCATCACCGTGTGCCGATATCTACTCTCAGGCTCTCACACAAGCAGCCGCCCAGCCTGTGTGCAACCTGTGATCTCTAAGCGAGACAGGCTCCTTGAAACCTGTGTGATACTCATGGATTATATGGATGATGGTGCGTGCTTGAGCTCTTGAAGATCACAGGTCCGGCCACACGGCGCGAAATCCACGCGCATCATATACAACCTCGCAGATGCCCCACCTCCGCTGGACAGCCTGTCAGAGCAGGTTAATGCAGTTGGCATTGCCACTGCGGCTTGCGGCAACAATCCCGTGGCAGCGCCGAGAAGGGGCGCAGCGTGCGCAGCGGGCGACGAGGAGCAGCTGCCAATGGCATCGACCACGGCTATTGGGAGCAAGGCGAATCTAGCGAGCGTGTCTTCACCACAACAACCCATTATCCGGCGGGGCTTCTTCGACGCCAAACCCAAGCAGCAGGTGCGTTGTATGGGCCAGCAAGTTCGAACGCAGCGCACTGCAAGGCTCTGCTGCTGCAGCCAAATGCAGTCCAATTTGATTCCATCCCCTCATATTTATCCACATTCAGGGTCACGGTCCCCAGAAGGCAGGCCGCAGCACGGGTGCAGCCGCAGTGCCTCTACTGCGCGCAGCCGCCAGGAGCCCGGCTGCGTCCGGGCCCGCCGCTCGTACCGGGGCGCCCTCAATCCCAGACTTTCTGATGCTGCCGCCCGATGGGCGGCGCGCGGCGCGCGACCAGCTGGTTGAGGCGCTGCGGCCCACGCAGGGCATGCTGGCCCAGATCTCATCGGATCCAGTGCTGGCGGCCGGCTTTGAGGACCCTGAGGTCATGGCGGCGGTGGCCGAGGTGGCGGCCGACCCCGCCGCGCTAGCAAAGCACCGTGGCAACGCCAAAGTGATGCGGTTCTATGCAGCAATGGGCGGCTTGGTGGGCGGCAGGCTGGAGGAGATAGGCAACAGCGACGGCGGCAGCGGCAAGGGCGGGGGCAGCGGGGGCCATCCGGACAAGGCCGGCGGGCGGCAGGTGGAGGCGGCAGTGGTGCCTCTGGCACGTGTCGCGGCGGCGGGTGGGCAGCACCACCAGCATCAGCAGCAGCGCATGGAGGTGCGTTGGCGGGAATGAGGGCATCAGCTTACAAAGGTGCATATGATGGGAAGTAACATGTCTTGGTTTTCAGGGGTTGACGTCCAGAGCGTTGCGCAAAGATGCGTGCAAGCACAGAGCGCAAGTTTTGGTGCGGGCAACCATGATGCTTGGGGTGCGTGTGTCAGCCAGCTGGGTAAAAATTGAGTCCATCACGCTGATCAGATTGCGTGGGTACATACAACTTCAGCTATGGCAGTGTTATGCCTGACTTGCCGGCTTTGGCGCAGTTTGTTTGCCCTAGGCGGGGTGCGCTGCACTACTGAATGCAGGGCGGCTACCTGCCAAATCGCTTGTCAGGCATCACTTGCTGCCCGCAGCGGCCAGAAACTCCTCAAGCGCGGCCACATCCACGCGCCGTGGCACGCCCAGCTCCTTGGCATGCGCCACCACAGCCGCCGCTGCGTCGGCAGCGCTCAGGCCGTTGGAGCGCGCCAGCCACGCAGCCTGCACCAGGCCCGTGCGGCCGCCACCACCCCAGCAGTGCACCAGGGTCTGCAAGCAGAGGGAGTCAACGGATGGGGCATCGCTTGGTTCATGCACAAAACCTTTCCAGGGGATGCCACCGATGCGCGGCACATCAGGTGCCTCACCAGAAAGCACATGCCAAGTCGCGCAAGCACTAGACACGGAAGTGTTGCACTGGTGTTGTGGACCACTGCCATCAGCAAAAAGCGGCTGCCATTACGCGCGCGGCAATGCCCTCAAATTGCTGCTGGTGATGAACACATTGAATGACGCGCACCTTGCGGCCCGCCTTGACATTGGCGTCAATCACCGCGAGCACGTCGGCGGGGGATGCAGAGCCTGCGTGCACGAGGTTTGCAACATTCAGGGTGCACCACAGTGTAAGCTGGCATGCACTGTGCCGCTGCCATGCATCACTTGACCAACAACTTGCATGCCACAGCACGCCTCAACTGTGCCCAAGCCGAGAGCAAGCAACCGTTCAGCCCTCCATGACGCCATGCCGGAGCAACTCCCTAGCAAAATCAAAACCCGCAGGCGCAGCCCAGCACACCCTTCAGGTCAAAGTGGTGGTAGTGCTCCCCAAAGGCGGCCCTCATCTGCTCCTCAATGCCCGGCGCTGCGTAGGTCTGCGCCACCTCGTCAGCGTTCAGCAGGCTGACCACAGACTGCACGCCATTTGACTTGACAAAGGCGACCCACCTGGTGCGTGAGGGGCGTTCCTGCACAAGTTGGTGGTTGCAGGACAGTTGCACCCGCACCGCTTTGGTGCCTCGGAGGCGTGTGCAACCAGCAGCTGTGACAAGGCGTTCTGGCCAATGGGGCGCAGCGTCAGGTCACGCGGCTTCCTCTTCCGTACACTCACTCCTCCACCTCGGTTGCCGGCACCGGCTCAGCGACGCATTCAGCAAAACATCGCTGCCGTTTGGCGCCCGGCCGCGCGGCGCCGACAAGCAGCGTGGCCTCCTGGGTGGTGGCGCCATAATTGAAGTCAACATGAGAGGTCGTTGGCCCAGGAGCGTGCTCGGCCATGAAGTCCAGTCGCTGATCTGATTTGCGGCCGGTTAGAGCCGAGAGCTGCCCTGGGTTGGTGTATTGATGTTGCCGTACGGGTCCTGTCCAGTATCAGCTCATATACGGTAGAATGCCCGTCTGTACAGTCCATTTCTTGGGATGGTCCCCTAGCTGCAGCGGCAGCTTTGACAGCGTTGGTGAGTCAGCGGAGCCCAATGGTTGCTGAAGGGGCCTACTACTATAATGGCCCGCCCTAGCCCCGCGCTAAGCGTCGTTGGCCTGACACTAGTGTTAGTGCAAGGTTATCGCCTAGCCACACGCTAGTGCGCACTTAGCGGTACCCAAGGATCCCACTTGATGTCTGGCCCTGCACCAAGGATCCAACAAGTGCCACGCCACAGAGTAAGGTCGGCGACGTACAGCTAAACAGCCTGTTACAAGAGAAAATAAAGCTAGGTCGCCGCCGCAGGCAGGGCCCCCTGCGTCCGGGCGCAACCCCATTCCCGACTTGCAGTGCTGCAGCAAACTTGCATTGCTGCAGCAAACTCCTTTGTTTGAACCAACGGAAGTGCTCTGTTTGTCTGCCTCGGACCAAGACCATCACATGGTGAGTTCTTTGCGCCAGCGCGTTTGACACCCGTAATCACCGCTTGAACAAGCAGAGAAGAGGCAAGGTGCCTGCAATGTCCAAGCCTTTTTAGGCCAGCAGTGCTCACAATTTTGGTGCGAGAGCTCTGTGCACCTACTGTTTGCGCTTCGTGTGCTGCTGACACACGCTGGCTTGCCTGACTAGCTCACCCAGGCTGACATGACTCACCGACAAGGTCATCAGTTGTAGTACCATAGTGCGTCGGGGCGCAGCACAAGCGCCGTGGCTCGGCACCAGGGGAGATGACGATTTGTGCGGTGCCACGCAAGAGCGCTGTTGCTAGGATAGTGTTGCAACAGCCAGCCGACACTGTGGCTGCAGTTGCTCACTTGCTGCGCCCGGTTTGACCTGGTCTCCCGCAAGACGGCCCTTGGACACGCAATGCCCTCAACACAAAAACAATGCAGCATGCCTCAAGTCCAACAGTTCAAAGTCAGCGAAAAGCGTATCAGAACGTGTCCAGCCGCGACCTTCAGCTTTTTGAAAGCCGGGTACGGTAGATCATAGCAGCTCATGCTGCCACATGGCTCAAACCCCAGCAAAACGCATCGAGGAGGTGCTGCCTTCACCGCAGCTATTGGCTCACTACAAAACGCGCATAGGTGCGGGGACGCGGCAGCAAACAACGAGCGGGTATGCGGTGCGCGGGGGCAGAAAACTCAACCTATCACTGAATTCTGCAGAGGAGTTTGAGGCCGAGCGGGATGAGCTGCTGCGGGCCGTGGCACGCTGCGCCGTCCAGTCGGAGGACCTGCACCGTTTGGAGTGGGAGAACCGCAAGCGCGCCGATGAGGTCCGCGAGTTGCAGCAGGTAAGAGCTAATGAGGTTGCCGAGTCGGGGTGGTCTGGCTATTGCGACGAATCCATCTCCTTGCGAGCATCTAGAACGGCACGGAGAGGAAACATGCACGCCTGGCCACCCTCGTGCACGCACACCTCACGCGGCATTGCGGATGCATGCGCACGCGCACGCACCAACACACGCACATCAACACACACATGCATGGACGCGCAGCGCACACTCTCGCATGTACAAACGAACGACACTGGCGTGCCTCCTCAAAACCGCCAGGCCCTCAGCGATGCGCAGCAGTTCCTGTTTGAGGAGCGCCAGAGGCTGCTGGCCCTGCAGGCGGAGAACGACGAGCTCAAGCTGCAGGAGCTGGACGACAGAAAACGCATGCAGCACCTGCTGGCCATGACGCAGCCGCTGGAGCAGCAGATCACCTACCGCGGCGACGGCCTGCCGGCGGCGTCCACGCTGCCGGCGGCGGGCGCAGCGGGCGCGGGGCAGCAGCCGGGGCAGGCGGGCGGCGGGGGCGGCAACGTGATGCGGACGGTGTTCCTGCCGACTGCTAATGCGGACGCGCTGTTGCTGAAGATTGAGTCCCTGCAGGCTCAGCTGAACGAGCAGGTGGGCGGAGGGGCGCACAGGGTATGCCCAAAACGCGCGCCTGCTGCCACCAGCCCCGCTGCCGCCACCACCGCGGACGCGGCAGTGCCACCGCCGCTTGCCGCAGCTCCTCAGAAGCCGCCTGGCGCCGTCAACCTGTGCACCGCATCGCCTTGAACCCCCCGCAGCGCGCGCTGTCGGAGGAGCGCGTGGAGGCGCTGCTGGTGGACCGCAAGGTGCGGCAGCAGGAGGAGGAGCGCCACCGCGCCAACTTCCTGGTCCAGGTGCGACGGGAGGGCAAGGGATGGGAGGGAGCGGAGCGGGCGCCAGCAGCCGCACATGGCTGGTTGTGCTGAGGCAAGGCGCGTCCGCGGCTCGGCGCGCGGCGCCGCGCTTTGGGCGCTTTGTCAGGGTCGTTCGGTTGCCCCGTTTTCGCCCGTCTGCTCAGGGCGCGCGCCACCTCAGTTTGGACTGGCCCCCTGCCGGCCCCATCTCGCTCCCTGCACCCCACAGATCGAGGCCCTGTCTACCAAGGTCACACAGCTGGAGGACACCCTGCGGCAGACCACCAAGGACTACATCGAGGGTGCGCGTCCTTGAACTCAAATCCCACGCTGTGCTTGTGCGGACGTGGGAGGATTCCACTCAGCCCTCAGCCTGTACTGCAAGCATTGTGTCTCTGCCGCTGCGGAGTGCGACACGTGGTGTGACGCCCAACATTACGGCGTGCGCTGCTGCTCCTCTGCAGCCCGCCGCGCCCGACAGGACGCCGAGGCGCGCGCCGCCGCAGCAGAGGCGCAGATGCATCGGGAAGTTGACGCCGCACGCGCTGACAGCGTGCGCGAGCGGCGGGCGGCCAAGCAGGAGGCGCGGGATGCGGCGGCGGTTGCGGAAGCGCGGATGCGGGAGTATGTGGACCGTTTCAGGGAGCAGGTGCCGGAGCGAGTATGGCTGCTTGAAATTGGACAAACTCAAAGGGGGCGTTGGGGGCGGCGCAGGCGCATACACAGGGGGGACCAAGCGCAAGACAGGCAACACGCGCTATGGTTGGCTGGCCTGCCCTGGGTTGAGCCACCCTCGCACAGGGATTAACGGCGGGCTTATCGAAGCAAAGCGCACCTGGACGACTTGGCATGGCCGGGCGACCTGTGGGCAGGGCGCAGCAACATTGTTTATACACACCGATTGGCTGGCGCAATCCATCTCCGCTCCCGCATTACCCTGCAGGTGCGCGCCCGCGAGGAGGAGCTGACCAACCTGGCCAGCCTCCACGCATCAACCAAGGCGGCAGCCGACAAGCGCATCGCTGACCTGGAGGCGCGCGCCTCGCGGCTGCAGGACTCGAACCGCCAGCTGGAGCAGCGGCGCCAGTTGGAGGTGGACGGGTGGGGCGCTGACGTGACGCTCCTGAGGAAGCAGCTGGCTGCGGTGGACCGGAAGCTGACGCAGATGCGGCTGATTGACAGGTACGCAGTTTCTGCACCCCGGGATGTGGCGCCCTCAGAACGGATTGTGCTGTTTGGTGCTGGTGCTGCCTTACATCAAGGATGGTGCACGTCTTAGTGGGCAACATGGCGTCACATGCGCATGGCACAAGGGGCTATCTAGGGTGACGCTTGTTTCAATACGATGTCATTATTGTATCACGTTGTTTCATGCTCAGGCTGGAGGACGACGAGCGGCTGGACACCCTACTAGACCAGCTGCAGAAGAAGGCGCCCTCCGTTCCTGCCGCCGCGGCAGGCAAGGACGCGCGGGGCCGTCGGCCTCGGCGGCACGGGGACGATGGCGGCAGCAGCCAGGCCGGTGGCGAAGGCGATGCCGGCGACGACGATGCCAGCGCGACAATGAGCAGCGGCATCCACAGCGTGAAAAGCCAGCTGGCGGCGGAGATGCGGGCGGTGCGGCGGCAGCTGGATGAGCTGGACGCGCGGGCTGGGGCTAAGGCGGAGCGCGCAGGGGTGGCGCCGCGGGCGGCCAACTACGGGCGGCTTGCACGTGGCTTCGGCACATGATCGGGCCGCACGAACCTTGCTGACTGACAGGTTGTAAGAGCATACTGTTTGCAGCTCTTCATAGCATGCGGGGCAGCGGGCTTACAGCAGATCTAGTCCTCGTCGACGCTGTTGCCAGTCCAAGCTGATGGGGCATATCTACGTATCAGCGGCCTCACTCCATTGAGGGTGGGAGTGGGCTGTGCACCTCACAGGCACGCCGTAAAGAAGGATGCCAGGCCTGCTGAACACAAAGACAGCTCACAACCAGGACTGATGTCGCACCACATTGCCGGGACCACCGTCATCCTGACTCATCTCTGCCGGCACCAACCTGTCAATGTCCCTGATCACGAGACCTCGCAGCACTAGCCCTTCATGAATCATCCGTGTAGGTCTCCAGTGTCACTAGCAACATCGCTTCAAGCTCACGGCGCGATTCAAACTCTCGATCGACGATCTCGCCTAAAACTACCAAAAAAAATGCCCAGCAGACAATCAACATGCTTGGTGGTTCAAGCTGTTGCGCTTTCGGTGCTTCTACTAGCAGTGACAGTCGAGCAGACGGTAGGACTCAGAACTGCTTCAGCGCATCTCAACTGCTGCTGTGCTCGCGCAGCATACCGGTACGCCCGGACCCCAACACGAGTTGCTCTTTTCCCAAAAGCAGGCAGCCAAGGAGCAGCCTGTCCAGTTCCGGCAGTGGACTGCGAGCCAGGTTGGTCAAGATGCACTTCATGTGGCGCAGCTGCTGCACAAGGCGTACCTTGGTGAGTTTAAATGTTCCCCCACGTCAAAAACGCCTATGCTGGTGATGCTAGGCATGTATCTGCATGTGGTAACAACATCAGGCTTCAGTGGTCGGTGCCACGTCTACGTTCTACCCAGTGCTCACTCCCCTGAGAGACAGCATGCAGATCTCGCCTCCGCCGCCCCTCCCCTGCACGCCCCCGCCGTGCCCCAGAGCCTTGGCAGCACAACACCGTGAGGAAGGTGCAGCCATGGTTGCACGCTGCTTGGGGCCGCGTGCGGTCCATAGAGGAGCCAGCGCGCGCAGCGTACGGGCGGTGGCGAGAGGTAGCGGCCGACGCGCTGCTGGCGTCACCGGCAGGACTGGATCCTGAAAAGGCAAGGCAGACAATCGACGCCCTGAGCCTGGCTGTCGGCGCTGGGGTGCTGGGGCTCGTGGTTGGCGCGGTTCTGCACCTGATTGTCGGATAGCTGGCGCCGGTGTAACACTGTGCAAGCTTGGCACGCCGACGCACTGGATGGGTTTGCGCGTGTCCAGTTTGACACCAGAAGGCATACGTGGCCACACAGTTTTTCAGCGTCGGCCACATCCACAGCTGCATGCTAGTCACAATTCTATTGAACCAAGGCTGTGCTCCCCTCCAGCCTCTTTGCACAGCATTCGCCGATCGACGTGCGCCGCCAGCGAGGCCGTCTGCCGCGCGCGGCGCGCCGGGCGCCGGTCAGCGCACGTCCCCGATGCGCTCCACGGCGACGGAGACGTCCTTCACGCCCTGCTGCAGCCGCTGGATCATGGGCTGGACCACCTCTGCCGGCTCGCGCCGCTTGAGGGCGCCGTCCAGCCGCTCCACGCCCTCCACCACGTCTCGCGCCATCTGTGAGCGCGCGTCGCGCGTGGGCGCGTGACGAATCGGCCCGGTTGCCGCGAAGCTGTGTGCTGAGCGCGGTCTGGCTGCCGCAGAGGCTGGATGCAAGTGCCGGATGACACCCCGTTGCGCGAGCTGGACACGGCACGCCTGCGCGAAAGCATGCGTTAGGCATGCGCAGCACGCGCATGCAGCCGCGAAGGGGCGCACACCTGCTGCGACACCAGGCGGTACATCTCCTGGCCGTACCCCAGGTCGAGCCGCAGCGTCTTGAACGCGCCCTCTCGCAGCTGCATCCGCGCGTTGTCGTACTGACCTATACGCACCAGCAGCTCGCAGCGTTGCAGCTGCGCTTGGACCGCCTGGCGTGCGCATCGCATGCGGTTGGGTACGGCATCGGGGGCGGTCTTGCAGCCGCCAGTGCCAGCGCTGCCCATGAATGCAGCCAGCGCTCGCCCATAACGCTGGCCCATTGCGGCTGTTTGCAGACCCTGGCAGCGGACCCTTAAGCCCTGCTGATGACAATGAACGCACCTCGAGTCGGTTGGACAGGGCCTGGCCAGGCTCCTCCTCGCCAAACAGCCGCTTCTGCTTGTTCAGCCGCTTCAGGTCCTCCAAGACCGCCGCATTGCTGCCCGCTGCCAGAGCCGCTGCCGTAGGTGTGGCGCCTAAGACAAGCGCGAGCGCCACCAGCGCCGTGCGCCGGTGGGGGTGGGCCGCGCGCTGCTCGTGCTGCTGTGAATGCGCCACCACCACTGGTGACAGCGACGGCGGATGTGCTATGGGCAAGCTGCCACGCGCCGCCTGGGCGGGCGGGCGTGAATGCAGGTTGACGCATCTAATGAGACTCATCACGTCGAGATTAGCCTTCCACGAATGGCTCCGGTACGACGACTCAGCACTCACAGCGTCGCCTAGATCGTGAGCAGAGTTTGTCCTCAGCTCGAAATCGGGACAGCGTAACAGGTAGTCCGAGGATTGTGTGTGGCACTCAAGGCCCAGTGCCCGCTGTTCAACCAGTGGTTGACCTGGTGTGAAGGGAAGCTGCTGTTGTGGTGAGGGGCCAATTCGTCTTGAAGGGCGTTCGTCTTGCCCCGCTTCATTCACGGATCGTACACTCCGATCCAGGATCGCTACATACGCCTCACGCAGACTCTTGCAGCGAGGCAGCAGCAACGCAGGAGCAGCATGGCAGCAGGCATCGCCCACTCGCAGGCGTCCTACGGCCTCATGTCCGTGGAGATGGACGCAGAGAACTGCCCTCCTCCCTACTCGGGGACCTCAAAGGCAAGCGGGGTCGTGGGGGCTGGTCTGCATCGCTTGTTGTTGTCTCGCTGCCCTCTTGTCGGATCCTGCCATCCACTGACTCTTCCGCCCGCTCTAACATCTCACAGGACTCGTTCTACGTCCACTCTGACTCTGTGGGGGCCCGGGCTCGCAGCCACCAGGTGGGTTGAGGTGCCGACTTGGCGCCCGGTTTCAAAGTCGAATTGCTCCACAACGCTGACCCAGCCCTCCTTTACTGACGCAGGCAGCTTCAACGTCTTCCGTTCTGGTGGAGAGGCCCTTCCAACGGCAGGCTGGCGGGAGCAGCGGTGAGTTCGGATGCACAGAGTCTGCACACAACTGTACAGCTGCTGCATTGCGCTCAGGTTTGGGATGGATTCGCCGCACCATGACGCCTGAAAGGCTCTTATCTCCTACCAATGTCTCCTCATGGTTCATTGCTGTGCCGCAGGCGCCCAATTCGGACTCCAGGTGCAAAAGCAGCACAGCGTCGTCGACATTGATGCCAACAACGCCGGCAACCCACTGGCCTGTGCCGAGTACGCGCGCGACATCTTTGACCACCTCCACGAAATTGAGGTGTGCACACCCAATCAATCTGCTGGGCTCAGCGAATGGGAAAGTAACGTTCATGACCGCCTGCCATGTGGCGGCTTGCTTTTCAAATTCAGGGCTGCTGCCGCTATAGCTGTTACGAAATTGGCATGCCCGGGCGGCTTCAAAAGGCTGGATTGCAATTCATGCCCCCATTCACAACCCTTCTAGAGCCACATGACCTCACCTGGCTTCTAAAACCACACCCCATTCGAATCGCGTGGCCTGACTTGTCCCCTCTCCCACCACGCCCCCTCAATGCCCGCCCGCGCAGTGCGACTGCCGCGCGGACCCGCGCTACATGGAGCGCGTGCAGCAGGACATGACGCCCCACATGCGCGCCATCCTGGTGGACTGGCTGGTCGAGGTGGCCATGGAGTACCGCCTCTGCAGCGACACCCTGCACCTCACGGTCGCGCTGCTGGACCGCTTCCTGTCCGTCGCGCGCATCGGGCGCGACCAGCTGCAGCTCGCCGGCATCGCGTGCATGTGGGCCGCGGCCAAGTACGAGGAGATCTACGCCCCCAGCGCCCGCGAGTTCTGCTTCATCACGGACAACACCTACACGCCGAAGCAGGTGCGCGCGCGTTGGGGCGGGGCTATCCGCGTGCGCATGCACGCGAACGCCGTTACGCGAGCTCTTCGGCCCCGTCATCCGCCATGAGGGACTGCTCGCGGCCCCGATCTCTGTGTCCCTGTCCTCTCCAGCATGCATGCCGAACCTACCCCCTCTCAAACCTCTCTGCCCCACCCCACCCCCCCCCCCCCCTCGAACCGCCGCAGCTGGTCGACATGGAGGCGCACGTGCTCAGCGCCCTCTCCTTCCGCCTGACGCTGCCGACGTCCAAGGCCTTCCTGCGCCGCTACCTCCAGGCCTCCGCCGCCAACGAGCGCCTGCACTTCCTCGCCTCGTTCCTCTGCGAGCTCTCCATGATGGACGAGGCGGGCCTCGCACACGCGCCGAGCGCAGTCGCCGCGGCCTCGGTGTTCCTCGCGCGCGCGATGCTGCAGCAGGCGCCCTGGGACGCGACGCTCGCGCACTACTCGCGCCGCCGCGCGGCCGACGTCGCGGGCGCCGTGCAGTTTGTGGCGGAGACGCACCGGCGTGTGGTGGAGGAGGGCACGTTTGCAGCAATCGTGGACAAGTACAGCAGCAGCAACCTCCTGAGCGTCGGCAAGGCGCTGCCGCTGGGCGCGCAGCACCTGGCGGCGCTGCTGAGCACCTGCTGCGGCGCGGCGCCCGGGCCGTGCGTGACGTTGTGCTGAGGAGCGCACCGACGGGGCGGTCGGGACGGGAGGGGGATTGGGGGTCAGGGGTGGGGTTTGAATCGTCGCCCTGGGGCCTGGCGACGCACTGACGACATCTGGGGTGGCTTTGTGTTGTATGCCCCTGCCCTCGGTTTAGCAGGGGCATAAGAATCTGCTGGAGTCCGTGCTTGCTGTTCCGCCGTCGATTTTGTTTGGTGTTTGATGGGTTTCACTGTTTGACAAGCGGCTCTCCAGCACGTCAGCGTGGTTTCCCGAGCCGCCGGTGCCGCCCTGGCCACGTGTTTGTTTGACCCTCGAGCTAGACCTGCCTGATTTCGGCGCCCGGATGCTGCACCCCTTTCAAAGGTGCACCCCCGACCTTTTTGACCCATGCGGTGGCCCGCGCCCAGATATCACATGCCATTGCAGCACCCCCACCACTGACTCGCATACATTTGACCCCCCCTCGCGTACTGCACGCCTCCCGGCCGGCGCTCGCACCCGCGGCTGCTCGGACCGGTGCAACAGAGAGCCCTCTGCCTCACCCACAGCTGACCGAGCGACCCTGGATCGACGACGCCCCCATCTAGCTCGTTTTCATCCGCACACGCCGCACCAGCCGCTGCAACAGGCGGCGCGCGAGCCACTGCGCGCTGTTTTCAGTGCCTTTCCGGCCACAAAAGCATGTGCGTTGCTGTAACACAACAGCTTTACATGCCCCAGGGTTTTGGAGGCTTGTCGGCTGGAGGATTGACATGAAGCAGGGTCTGGGCAGCGCATACAGTGGTGGTCAACAACTGCCAGTCTCAACGCTCATAGTTATTTCTGCCACACCGCAGCCAGCATGAAGTGCGGCCGCCGCATCTCCTGCGCGGGCCGCCTGGCTCAGGCGGCCAGCTCCGTGACGGCCCGGCGCCCCCTCGCCACGCTGACGCCAGCTAGCCTGCCGCGCCGCACGCGCTCCCCTTTTCGCCGCTCCCCACCCCACGCGGCTGGCTCGTCGCGCGGCGCTGTCCCATGCTTTTCCTGGGCCTTGACCAAGGCGAGTGAGGGCGGGAATTGCGTTCTGCACTTGGGGCCGGCGGTGGGCAGGGAAAGCAAAGACAACGGCTGCAGCTGGGGACAGGTGCGCGAGTCGAGCGCGGTGGCATGCCGGTGAGCGTGAGGGGCACCGCCACGCGGCCTCTCGTCTGAATGGTGCAGGAGAATCGTTGGGCCGTGCTATCCACTGCGCGCCACATGCGTGCCCCCACCTGCCGCTCGATTTCGGCCCCGGACGGCGCCAGAGCGCAGCGTGCCCCGGCCGCGCCCGCGCTCTCGTCTTGAGAGGACACAGACGAGGAGCTCAGCGACAGCTCAGCCAGCAGTGCTGCCGGCTGCCGGTGCTGCTCTGGGTCCTGCAGCCGCTCGACGCGCCGCGGCTGCTGATGAGCAGACTGCTGCTGCGGCTGCTGTCGAGCAGACTGCTGCTGCGGCTGCTGCCGAGCAGACTGCTGCTGCGGCCGCTCCAGCGGGTCGTCCGCTCTGCTGCTGGATCGCCTGTGCGGTTGGCGCCGCCCCTCCTGCGGCGCCGCTGGCCGCGCGAGCCGAGTGCTGGAGGGGGGAGGCTTAGCGGCGGCTGGGGCTGCTGCTACTGCTGCTGCTATTACTGCAGGCCGCTGGGCTGCAGGCGCTGGGGCTGGGGCATCTTCGGCCTGAGGGCGATTTGCCGCGCCGTCTCCCTCCCGTTGGCCTAACACTCTGAAAAGGGCGGCCTGTGTCGGGAGGAGGAAGGAGTATGAAGACAAGGCAAACACGCAAACACGCAATCGATAAGTTTTTGCGGCAGTGATGGTAACAACGCAACCCTGCAGCCCTGTACTCGCCCCTTGGCGCCTTGCCGCCCCACCCCTCATCAACTTGCCGTCCCCGTGCGTCCACCAGCCCACCTTGAGCCTCTCCATCTGCCGCTTGTGCTCATCGCACTGCGCCCTCAGCGCCCTGACCTGCTCGCGCAGCCCCGCACGCATGGTCAGGTCCAGGCGGCCACGCCGGCGCGCGGCCTGCGTTTGGTGGGTGTATATGGGACCAGTAGTGGGACAAGGCGGCGTGCAGAGATTTGCCATACGGTGCGAGGGCAGTGAGCGGGGGAGCGGGGGAGCGGGGGAGCGGGGGAGCTTGGGAGTGGGGGAGCGGGGGAACTTGTTGAACTCAAACAAACCCATACGTCCGCGCGCAGCCTGGCGGCCGTAACGCGCTGCTGCCTAAGCACCAATAACACTTGACACCAGCTAGTAAGGCGCATGCCTGCCGCAATCCCTGCACGACGATGACGCAGCAGCAGCGGCCCCCACCTCTGCTCCCTTGCGCAGCTCCTCAAGCTCCCCCTCAACATGCTGCCGCGCCCGGCCCAGCTCCGACGCCAGCCGCCTCTCCGCGGCAGCCGAGCGGTCAGCCCGCTTGGCCAGCTCGCCGCACGCCGCCCGCAGCGCCTTGCGCTCGGCACTGCGTCGGCTCGTGCGTGAGGGCGGAAGCGTTTGTGAGCAGCCGTGCGTGCGTGGCAGTGCTGGTTCATGGGCAACTCTGGATGTTGTATCCGTGCACTTTGTCGACAGGCGCTACGTAGCTTGATGCGCCATGCATGCATGCGCCATATGGAGCGGCGGTTGACATGGCGAGCAGACTCCTGTCGAAATCGGCCAGTCCCAGACGGCCTGGCAGCGTGTCTGCCCAGCTGCCAGCATGCAGCGCAGCAAGTCATCATCTCATCGATCTGGCACCGAACACCTGGAAACCACACGCGCTCGACGCAGCCTGAGCAGACCTGCACGCGCCCGCCTGCTCCTGCTGGGCGAGCAAGCGCCCAGCTTGCGCCACCGACGCGCCGCGCAGCAGGGCCAGCTCGCGCTGCTGCTGCGCCAGCTGCGCCTCGAGGTCGTCCGCGCGCCGCTCCAGGGCGGCGCGTGACGCGCGCTCCTGCTCTGCTCCCGCGTTGAGGGCCTGGAGGGAAGCCTGGGGCACCAGCGCGGCAGGGCGGGGCGGTGTTGGCAATCGCCTTGAAGCTCCAGGAGCATCACTCAGTGATGGGGGTATCCATTCGCTGACGTGCCTGTATGCTCGTTCAGCCTCGAAACTTCATGAGCACGCAAACACGCCACTCAGGCTGGGATGGGTCGAGCTATCCAGGAGGGCGCCACGCACCTGCGTGTTGCGGCCCAGCAGCAGCATGCGCGAAATCTGGTTGGTCGCCGCCTTGAGCCCCGCCCGCGCCTCGTCCAGCCCTAGCCGCGCCACCCCCGACTCCCTACGCAGCGCCTGGAGCTCCCCGGCGGCGGCGGCGCCCTCCGTGTCGGCCGCGGCCGCGCGGCGCGCGAGGGCGGCGACGGTGCTGGCGAGGTCTGCCACCAAGGCAGCCGACGCAGACGCCGCGGCCGCGCCGGCGGCCGCGCGGGCCTCGAGAGACTCGCTGCTGGGAAGGTCGCCAGCAGGCTCGTCCGCGGCAGGCGCGCGCTGCGGCGGCTGCGGCGTGCGGGACCCTGCTGCCGTTGCGGCGGCAGCCGCGGCCGCAGCGAAGCGGCCCAGGCCGACGACTGTGGCGCGAGGAGCCCCGGCAGCCGGTGTCGCCTCAGCGGCGCCGGGGCTGCTGTTTGAAGACAGAAATTCTGACAGGAGTGAGCTCAGGTGCTGGAGGTCGATGGCCTCCGAGTGGCCCTCATCAGACAGCGTTTCACTGGCAGTTGCATTTGTACGCGGCGCCGGGCGCCCAGCCGCGCCGCCGAAGAACGCGTGTGCTGGCATTGTAGGTGGACCTAGACTTGCGACGACCTGATACACAGCAATCCTGCGAGATTCGGTCAAGGTTTTGCCTTTCTGCGATTGACTGCGCGCATGAGGTTATCGCAAGAGCTTTGCAGTTGCTTACTGTATATGGTTTTTTGATTTGCAATATCACAGCGTTCGAGGACAAGATGTGGCGATGATGACGCTGGTGGTGCGTGAGGAGGCGCAGGGTGTACGTTTTAAGGGCTCCCCACAACGTTGAATTTCAAATCAATGCACGTGAATATACCCTCGAGAGCTCATTGACATCGCTTCCAATCCGAGTCAGCCGAATCGCTTCCGATAGGTGGGTGGGGAGCGTCCCGTGCTTTCGATTCCTTATGTTGTGTAACAAGCGTTGATTGGTGGTGTGACTGTGGCTTGTGGGACCCGTAAGCCGCGATCACTTGTAGCCCGCCCCAAGGCCAACCGACGGCGCGCTCAGCCCAAGCCAGTCCAAAATAGCACGGTGGGGTGCATTAAGATACGTGATCTCGATCCTCTGTCCCTCGATGGAGCGCTGTTGGGCGCGTCGCACCGCTGGGAATGCCGTTGTGCGACGCTGACGAAGCGCCCCGTCTGGGGCCTGGCATGGCGCTTTCTGGGCTTGCTCGCGGCCATCAGCAAAGGTGATGACAGAAAAATTTCATCTGCACCCATGAAATATGCCCGTCTCCCATACTGATCCCACAAAGAACCGCAACAGGTAAGGACCAACCTCCAGCCCCCAGTCCGGCCACCCTGAAATGGAGGACGACGGCCCGCTCCCGCGTAGCGCGTCGCGCTCGCTGTCCCTGGACCTCGCGCGCATGTCCTCCTGGCACCTCGAGCAAGACGTGCTGGTCGTGGCCAGCCCGAAGGCCGCGGGCGACGAGCCGGGCGGCTGCCCGGGCGCGTCGCACCTGAGCGCCGAGGCGCTGGCCATGATCAGGGGGCAGGTCACTGCTGAGAGGAAGGAGCTGCTCTACTCCAACAGCCTCAGGAGGTGGGGGCCCGGGCAGCTCCCCTCTGGAGGTGGGGGTAGGACTGTGCGGGGAGGGCAGGCCACGGGTGTGGGGGGCGAGGCCGTCAATCAGGCCCCGGTCAAAGCTGAATGATTGATTTTGCAGCGCCCGCCACGCAAAGCGCTGGGGCGGGGAGTGGCACCAGACGACGACGCCAGGCTACTGCCGCACACGCCGGATGTTGTCCTGTGGGCGGGAGCGCTGGGCTGCTTGCCTTCACCTCTAGACCCCGGTTAAGCAATCTGACCGCGCGCACACCCACCCCCACAGGCGCAGCCTGGAGGGCGGCGCAAAGTGAGCCAGCCGGCAGGGGCCGGACTGCGCGCTTCCACGAAGCCGCACGGCTCAAGGGCAATGACCGGGCAATCGCAGCCAACGTGGGTGTCTCGAAGACGCAAGGGCGCATCCGTGGGGGGCCAACCCACAGAGGGGAAATCTTGAGCAACACTTGTGTGATGCACCGCGAGGCCGGACGCCACTCTCAACACAATACGCAAGGGGCGCGCTGCATGGCTCGGCTCTCGCGCTTGGCTCACATGCCGCGCGGCCAATGAGCAGCAGGCCATTTCAAACAACATTGTCATGAACGCTTCTCCATCGACCTTGCCACAGCGCCAATGGCGCGCCTGCAGCACGCACGTTGGCCGCCCACTGCATTGCAGTATCGACCCTTGTGCGCGGCTTGGGCACATCACTAGGGGCGCTTAGGTGTTTCCTGGAAATTTCGGTCGCACAACTTCCCACCTATGCGTCATGCCATGCTCAGCTTGCAGGTGGTGCGTGCCTTTTCCTGCACACACACACCGCAACGACGAGATAGCCACTGCACCTGGCCTGGTGCACACAAAAGCACGGTGGTGGTACACCTTCCACTCACCTAGGATTTGTGAGTCTTTTGAACCAAGTTTTCCAATCTACGCGCTGAATCACAAAAAATCAGTGCGCAGATTGGCACCGCCATGATGAGCCGAGGGAAGCAAGCACTTTGCTACGTTTGAGAAAGAAGTCGCCACACCAGCAAGCAACCGCCCAATCCACCGGCAAATTGCATCCACAGCGCTCCATCTCCCTCACAGCGTGCCTGTTATGTTGGAAGCAAGCCGTGGCCTAGTAACTCTGCATTGAAAACTGCGTGGTATTGTTCCAAACCAGGGTATTGCGGCGTGCACCGGGGCGCAGCGCCCTCACGCAGCGGCTGCTGGGCCTCACAGGGGGCTACACCCGAGCTTCCACATGTAGCTTTAACACATTGCCTCGCGACACCTTTGTAAAATTTTTGGTGTGAACGCGGGCATAACTGTCGAGGTCACTTGGCGGGCAATGCAGTGGCGGGGCCTTGAGAAGGGGGGGGCTGTCGTAGCCGTCGTGCGTGCAGGCGGTTTCCCTGTCGATGCCTAGTCGCGCCACAACGGGCAATACATGCGAAGCCGAAAATGGCCTGGAGGTCTTCAAGCAGTGGCAGGACCTTGTCATGAGTGGGGGCTTTGTATGTCCAGAAGAGCAGTCGTCCACACAATCACATCGACTTCCTTGTTTGGCCTGCGGCCCTGTCAGCTGTTTTGTAATAAGCGTGCCCACAAGAACACTTTGCTGTCACCCAAGCCCCTCATGCAAAGCGTCCCTCCTCATTCCGCTGGGCGCTCACAACAGGGGCATGGTGGCCGGCGTACCAAACATACACAAGATGGGGCGGATGCAGCCAACCCGGCTGCCGCAGCTAAGCACTCTTCACTTGCGGCAAATCAGAGGGGGTTACACAAGAGGGTCGCTCGCGACCGCTGACCCATCACGCCCGCGGCGCCCCCGGCGGCTGCGGCCCGGGCGGCGGCGGGGGAGGCGGGAGGCCGCCGTGTTGCTGCTGCCCCGGCTGCATGGGCCGCATCTGCGGCCCTGGCACGAATGGGAACGGCGGCGGGAGTTGCTGGGGTGGCTGCTGCTGCTGCTGTGGTGGCGCGCCGGGCGGCGGCGCCGGCGGCTGCGGGTGCGCATACCCTGGCGCCCCTGGATGCATGGGTGGGGGGCCTCGGGGGCCCGCTTGCGGTGGGCCCCAGGGCGGCGGCGGCCCCATCTGCCGCGCTGCCGCATAGCCCTGTGGCGAGTAGCCGGCCGGCGGCGGCGCGCCCGGTGGCGGGGCGGGCGGCGCCACGCCAGGCGGCGCATAGCCCGGCGGCAAGTAGCCTGGCGGAGCGTAGCCCGGTGGCGCCCCTGGGTAATGTTGGTACTGGTGCTGCTGCTGGTGCGGAGGCGGCGGCCCTGGAGGGAAATGCTGCAGCGATGGTGGGGGCAGCGCGGCGCCAAAGGGGTTGTAGGGTTCCTGCTGCTGCTGCTGGCCCGAGGTGGGCGGCGGCGGCGGCGGCGGGGGCGCGCCGTACGGGGCGTTCGGCGTCCCTGCTGCCGCGGGCGGCGGCGGTGGCGGGGGCGGCGGGACGTCGCTTTCGGGCGCAGCAGTGGGCGGCGCTGCTGCCTCCTGCTGCTGCTGCTGCTGCTGCTGCTGCTGCTGAGGCTCCAATTCCATTTGGATGTCAGCAGCCCCCGTGGGGTCGTACGCCTCCTCTTCGCCGCCCTCAGCAGCCGCCGCGGCCACCGGGACAGGCGGCGGCACAAACGGCGCAGCCGCAGCCGCGGCAGCCGCAACCGCAGCAGCGGCCGAGACGCCGGCCGGCTCCGGGGGCGGCTCGGCGCGCTTGGGCGCCAGCGGCGGCCGGAACACGGCGCGGCGCAGCGGCCCCACGACGTTGCGGCGCAGCACGATGCCCCCGCTTTTCGCCTCGCCCCCAGCCCCGCCCTTCTCCGCGGCCGCCTCGGGCTCCCCTTCCTCGCCCGCGGCCGCGGGCGCCGCGGCCGTGCCGCCGCTGCTGGCGCTGGCGTCCGGCGCCTTGGCGGCGGCGGCCTTTGGGGCGATGTTTGGGTCGACCTCGAAGACGTCGTCCATGGAGGCCTGCTGCTGCTCTCCCTGCTGCCCTTGGCCGCCCTCGCCCTGCTGCTGCTCCTGCTGCTGCTCGATCAGGCGCAGCTGCTCCTGCGGGGGGTGGCCGCGGGGGCAGGAGCCAGGGATGGGTACAGAGGTGGTTGCAGACGCGAGGGGAGAGGTCACAGGGCCTTGACGATAGGGACGTGGCGTTGAGGGTGAGCGCTTGTCAGTGAACCCGCGTGCGTACTCAGGCAGACACAAATTGCTAACACGTGCATGCATCCAACTACACACACACGCGCGCACACGCTCACACACACACCCCACACACACATATACACACGCGCAAGCGCACCCCCCGTTTCTCCCAGGCCCACCTCCAGCCTGCGCTTCTTCTGATCAAGGCCCAGCTTCAGCCTCAGCTCAGGCGGCATCTCCTCATGCACCTTGGATGTCATAGGCACCGTCCCCGCCCACGCCACCGCCGCCGGCAACAGAGCCGGCGCCAGCACCGGCATCGTGGGCGCCCCGCCCACGACCGCCGCCTCGGCCGCGACGGCCGCGCGGATCTCGGCCGGCGCGAGCGTCAGGCTGGAGACCGGGATCAGCGGCATCGCGGCCGCCGCCGCGGCGATGTCCTCGGCTACCGCCGCGGCGCCGCTGGCGCTGGCAGGCGCGGCGCCCAGCAGCTGCTGCAGGGCCATGCGGCTCTGGGCGATGGGGGCGCGGCCGGACGTGGGGGGCGGCGGGAGGGGCGCTGATGCTGTGGTGCGCCACCTGCAGGGAGTGGCGGGGCGGGGCGGCAGGGAAGGGTTGAAGAGCGCGATGTGTGGCGGTTGCGCCAGAGGTGTGGGTGCCAGGAGTGGACGCGCGGCAGCAAGGGGACGCGCAGGGGCAGGGGCAGCGCCCGTGTGCTGCAGACTCGACGCCAGCAGGCTTTTCGTTGCAGACAGTCCAGCAGGACCCAGAGCGCCCGCCCCCCCACTGCCGCGGCGCACTTGCTGTCGCCAGCAACGCCTGCTTTCAGTGCCGCCGCTGCCGCAGCAGCCGCTGTGGGCGCCCGCAGCGCCGCCGCGCTCGCGAGCGCGGCTGCAAAGGCGGCCGGCAGCCCGGCCGCTGCGGCGCTGCCGTTGGCCGCCTGCGAGGCCGCCGGCGCTGCTTGGCCGTTGGCTCCTTGGCCCCCTGCTGCAGCCACTGCCGCCCCGACACGAGAGTCCACCAGGGGATAAGCTGCCGCGCCATTTCCCTGCGCGCTCGCGCCCTCTGCGCCGCTCCCGCCTGGCAGTGGCGAGCGCCTCCTGGGCTCGCCGCCGGGCCCCCGGCTTCTGCTCCTGCTCCGGCGCCGGCCGGACCCCCGGCCGCGGCTGCTGCTGCGGGCCCTGCGGCCGTCGTCCCTGCGCCGCTCCCTCGAGCGGCTGCGGTCGTGCCGCAGCCGCGCGGGCGACGGGCTGCGCCGCCGCCGCCGCTCTGGGGAGTAGCTGCCGCGGCGGCGCGGCGGCCCCCGTCTCGCCGGCGAGGGAGTGCGCCGCCGGAGGGGCTGGCTCAGGCGGCGGCGCGCAGGGCTGCGGCTGCGGCTGCGGCTGCTGGGCCTGCGCTGCGCCGGGCTGGCGCGCCGCTGGGCCCGCGCGCTCTTGCGAGGTTCCCCCAGCTCCGCGGGCCCCTCGCTGCGGCCGCGGCTGCGCTTGCGTGCACGGCCCTCCGCGCCCTCCCTCGCTTTCTGGCCGCGGCCTTCCTCGCCGCCCCCTGCGCCCCTCTCCTTGCTCTTGGTGCGTCCCCGGCCACGGCCATGGCTGCGGCTGCGTTTGCGGGCTCCCTCCGCGCCCGCATGGCCCGCTGTCGCCTTGTGTGTGCTGCCATGCTTGCCGGGCTCGGCGGCCCCCTCCTTGCTCTGTGACCGCCCGCGGCCAGGGCTGCGGCTACGGCTGCGGGTACGGCTGCGGCTGCTGCGGCGGTGCTTGTGCTTGTGCTTGTGCCGCCGCTCCTTTTTGTCTTTGTCCTTGTGTTGGTGGTGCCGCCGCTCTTCGCCGCCGCGAGGGGCCTCACCCCCCGCGGTCTTGGCCTGTGCTGCTGCCGCGTCCGCTCCCTCCCCTGCTGACCCGCCGTCTGATTTGGGACGGTCTGCCGCACCCTCAGCACTGTGCTCCTCAGCAAGCGGCTCGCCACAACCAGCAGCAGCGTCAAGCGCCGGCGCCTCGCCTTGTGGCACCACGGCTGTGCCCGCTAGGTCAGCAGCGTCCCGCAACTCTGTGTCTGCTTGGTGCTCCGAGTCCCCATCCCGACCCGGCATGGCTCTGTGTGCTGGGATCGATCCCAAATGTGTAGATAGATCGCGGGAGGAAATGGAGGTATAAAAAAACGAAATACAGGATCAGCAATGAGGGGAGTGCTGTTCAAGAAATACTAGTATTCCCCTGTTGATCTCAGATCTGGTTCGTGGGGGCTGCTGTGATGCAGTTTACAAGCGCTTTGTGTTTTAGGAGCAAATGAGTCCCCACAAAGCGCCCTATCAGGCCTGAAAAGGATATGTTGCCAATGAATGGACCAGTCAGCCCATGTCACCGTAGAGGGCAACCTGCTTGCACTCACCGCCACCCCTCCCCGGTGCCGGGCAAGCAAGGACTGAAGCATGTCGCACAAAATCTCCGACCACATTTGCTAAATGCATGCAAGGAAGCACTCGCATTGCCAAGGTGTTATCTGCCTGGGCAGGCAGAGCCTGCAGGTCAGGTGTAGACCAGCGTGCTGCACTCTCACACGCTTCCCCCTTGCCCCCCGGCAAAGTCCTGGTTTACCTGCTGTTGCTGGTGCTGTTCACTGGAAGGCTGCATCAGTGCTGTACCAGTCCACCAATTAAATCAAGGGGCTAACAGGGAAAATGGAGATCCCACAGAATCAAATCAAGGGACGTTCAAAAGTAATATGAATCAGTGCTTGTGAAGGGTGTAAGCAAATTGAGCAACTGGGTTATTGAGGGTTGATATATAAACCCTGAACCCTAAACCCATATACTCCCCCTACAGACAGCGAAGCAGGCAGTGGGGGCTTGGGCAGCCTACCGCTAGCAGTTGGCGGGCTGCAACACTTGAACTTAAGGTTCTCGTGAGGTTCTCGTTGCATGCGTCATTGAAAGGCGCATGACAGGTACAGCATGTTGCGCACGGGGCAGCAAGAACCTGAGTGATGCAAGCGCACCAGATTCACAGAAACAATTTGCACGGCGGCTTCAAAAATGCGCAGCGCCTCTTACACGGTAGTGCAGTGCGGTGCTGCTGGTCCGTCACCCTGTCTCGCTGTCCGGTGACCGCCCAGGACCTGAGCTGGTTGTGGACATCGAGGCCGTGTACTTTTGTAGCTAATTTCTGTCGTTGTGAATTGCGACCTAGCATCCTGCGTCAAGTAACTTCAAGGTTGCATTGAGCTGGGGAGCGCAAGCAGCGTGTTGCACCGCTCTCAAACGTGCCAGGCGGTCTTTTTCCCATTTGAAGGGTTTCTAACCGTGCATCACCCATAGTACTGGGCAATTGAGAGCAATGAGGGCGCTCCAGTTGTGCGTTCTGGCGCTGTGCGCCCTGGGTGAGTGAGCTGGTCGCGCGAAATTATCATAGGATTCTGCCGCTAGACTTAGTCACAGTGTGCCTGCGTGTGGGCTGACTTTGGTCACCCTGGCCAGCATACAAGCTGGCCGGGGCACCCTGATTTCATTCTGCCTCCATATAACTGCACACTCGGGCTTGGGCGCATATCAACTGGCAATTGCAAGTAGATTTGTCTGATTGAGCTGGGCCAATGAGTCTCCCGTCATCCAGGCGCAGGCGCGCGCCGGTGCCCCACCTTCGCTGAACAACTGCTGGCACCTGCCGCGCGTCGCCCCGCCATTTTCTGCGCTCGCAGTTGCCGGTGCACAGGCGCCGGCCAAGGTGGATCCCACAACGGGCCTTCCGCCTGGCGTCGTACCGCTTCCCAGCGACCCGCCAGCGGCGGCGCCGACGCCAGCCGCAGCCGCCCCCGCAGGTTTGCCTTCCGGCTACCCGGGGTACCCCAACGCTGCGAGCCTAGGCTTCCCCATCCCATACCCTAGCTACCCGCAGCCCGCCGCCACCGCCGGCTACCCGCAGCCCGCAGCGGCGCCCGGCTACCCGCAGGCCGCGCCAGGCGCGCTGCCGACCGCGGCCTACCCCGCCGCGGCGCCCGGCTTCCCGGCTGGCCCTGGCGCGCTGCCCGCGCCCGCGGCGGCGGCGCCGCAGTATGCGGTGCCCGGCGCACTGCCGACGGGCCCGGCAGCGGCGGCTGCGAAGCCCCCGGCGCCGCAGCCCCCAAAGAAGGAAGAGAAGAAGGATGCAAAGAAGGAGGAGGCAGCGGCCCCCAAGGCAGCGGCCCCAAAGGCGGCGCCCGCAGGCGAGCTGGCGGCCCGGGCTTGCGAGAAGGGCGGGCGGGGCTCAGGGGCTGTCAAGGGTGTAGATTCCCGCCCTTCGTACGCCTGGCATGCGTCGGGGATGGGCTCTACGGGCAGTTGTTGGGCAGCTGGGCGTGGGTCAGACCCTAAAGCACGATGTCTGCGTTCCCTCTTCCGCCTTCCACCCCGCGCAGCACCCCTGGCCGGCGCCCTGCCGACCGCGCCGCTGGCGGCTGGCCCGCTGGCCGCCGCCCCGGCGCCAGTGCCCGCGGCAGCCGCCCCAGGACTTCTCCCGGCCAGCCCTGCGGGGCCCCCCGCTCCTGGCCTGATGCTCCCTGGCGGTGAGGCGCAGAGTTTGTCTCGAGGGGTGCAAGGGTGTTAGAACCTGTCACAGAACCTGTCACAGCCTGTTGGAGACGCGGCTGGTGCCGGCAGTCCAGCACACCACGCACATTGCGGCCAGTTGCGGCTTGCACTGCTGTCAGCGAGCATTGCGGGCTCAGGCCACAGCCCGCGCCCACCAGCAACCTGAGCGGCATCCCAGCTGCACGTGCTGACCTGGCGCTGCTGGCGCGACGCATGCCGCCGCTGCAGCGATACCCCCCGGCGCCTTGGCCACTGGCCCTGCCCCTGGCATGGTGCCACTCGGCCGTGAGTAGCCGTTGCTATAGAGCACCATGCACGATACGCGCTGTCAAGCCCAACGAGCGGCGGCAAGCTTGAGAGCGTTGCAACCCAGTTGGCACCACGCAGCTCCAACCACGCGGCAGCGGCAGTCGTGCGGTCCCGCCCAACACGCCTCCTCCTCCCCTCTTGCGTGGCCCGCCCCTCGCTCCCTCGACTTCGCAGCCGCACCCCGCGCCCCTGGCGCTCCCCCCGGCGTCCCTGGAGCGCTGCCTTTTGACGGAACCATGGGCGGCCCAGGCGGGCCCCTGCCCAACCCCAACGCTGCGGCCAACATTAACGGCCCCGCGAGTGGCGGCGCCGGCACCGGCCTCGGCAGCTTGGCAGGAGACCCCAACGCAAGCACTGGGCTCGGCAGCGCCGGCGCGACGGGCCTGGGCGGCGCTGGTGCAGGAACCGGCCTCGGCGGCCTCAGCGGCGCGGGATTGGGCGCTACTGGCGCTGGCGGCCTTGGCGGCAGTCCTGGAACGCTTGGGGCCGGTGCCGGCACGCTCGGCGGCGGTGCGGGCACTCTCGGCGGCGGTGCGGGCACTCTCGGCGCCGCTCCTGGTGCCCCCGGGACAGGTTCAGGCACTCTGCTGCGGAGACGCCAGGATGCTGCTGCCAGCGCCGCCGGCGCGGCCACGCGCAGCGGGGTCACGCTGGTGTTGGGTGCTGCTGCCATGGCGCTGCTTCTGTGAGAAAGCGCCATATGCACATGCGACTCAGCAGGTCAGTTCAGGAGCTTGCTTCATCCAGCCAGCCAGGGCGCGTCAGACCACCCACCTCCTGCGGAATGCACATGCCCTGCATCCGGCATGGAGGCAGGGACGGCAAGTTGTGAACATCATCCCCTCACCAAGCAATTGGTGGGGCGCCCTGCAGCAGGATTGCGTGAGCTGGGCTGGGGTGGTAGGAGCAGTCACATATGTGCTGCGGCCACATGTTGGTGGCCCGGCAGCGGTGCTATAGCCAGGACCTGCGCGCCTCCAGGCGCACGCGGCGTCACGCCGCACAAGATTTCCAATTTGTGGTTTCATTGAGAGAAACCAGGCTGGATTTGTCACGCCGAGAGGCGCGAAGGGGCCCTACATCTCAACGGGATTTCGGCATATAGCAAGGCGCATTCGCGTCAAGCGGAGTAAAGTACAGTATGCTGGTATCCGCGTGCACATTGACCATACTTTGACCAACCAGGCCTGATGCGCCCCACCATCCAGCAAGTTATCAGCATCAGACATTGGAGCCCAGCGTAACTGTTGAGGGGCTTAATCAGGGCGGCATGGCGTGTTCGGGTGTGGCCCTGCAAGAGATTGCCACTCGCGTGGGCCGATGTCCGCAATTACGCTGCGCTCCAATTCAGAGTCGCCAAGCATGTATGTCAGTACAAATCGTTGCGTCACAACCCAATGCAGCCATCAGCCGCAGGAGGACAAGCTGTGTGATGCACAATGCCTGCACGGGTGCACTGGTGGGCCTGTCCCGCCAAGCAACAAGCAGCTCACAACAGATCCAGGGCAACCCCAGGGTGACTATGTACACATGGCCTTGCAGCAGATGCTCGCGGGGAATGACTGAACATCAGCAAGGCGCTTTCAATCACCGCTCACGGCCCGCCCATAGTGGGGCAGTCGTGCGCTTGGTTTGCTGTTACAAGTCGAGACTGTGCCGCTACAGGGTCAATGTTCAAGTTGACCTTGAGAATCGCTGCTCGATCTGCCCTGCTTTGAAGGAGGCCTGCTTGACTGCCTTGGCAAGGAGGCGTTCTGCCCCTCGCTGTGTCCTGACCTGACCGCACCCGCTTTCTCCTCCAGCCATTCTCGCTAGGGCGGTACCGTACACAAGGGAGCTGAGGGGAAAGCATTTGCAAATTGACCGTGCGAGAGGTTCCTGGCACCATTGCAGCCTGGTGGGAGAGACGCCAGTATTTTACCCAGCCCTCTCCGGTTTGCCAAAGTACGGGCCCACACGCGACGGTGTGTTATCTCCAGCAGCCTGGCCTCCTCTTCTGCCCACCCGGCGGCGGCCTCGGGGCGCGCTCGGGCTGCGCAGGCTCTGTTCCGCAGCTTGCAGCACGCCGGGCAGGCCACCTTGAAAGCCGCAAAATGTGTTGATCGTACATTTTGCCGCCATAAGATTCACAAGATTGCGCGTCTGTCCCGCATACGGTACCTAGCGCAGCTTCGTCTTTTCATCTGTGCATCTTTCCTGCTTGTCAACGTGGACAAACATCAACCACGGTTCTTGCAGTTGGTGTTGGCCTCCGATATTCACCTTGCCCTGCCACAAAACAGGCAGCAAGTGCCCGCTGCTGACGCAACACACACACATCGGAGCGCCGCGTCCGGCGCGAATCTGCGCCAGCATATGACAGAGTGCCCCATATGCTACAACAGGATCTTGCCTGAGGAGGAGGCCTACACAAATCCCTGCTTCCACCGCTTCTGTCTCGAGGTTTGCGCCAACAACGGGCAGCGGATGGCGTCTCCTGCCGCTGACTCGCGCAGCACTCATCCGCAACGCACCGCGCTGCCGTGCGCCCGCAGTGCATCGAACGCTGGACCGAGGCGCAGCGGCGCCACCCTACCGCGGGCCCCGCCAGCGGCCCCCAGCCGCCCTCGTGCCCCGTCTGCCGGCAGGCCTACACCCACATTATCTCTGATGCCAACGGCGTCAGCTTCAGGTGCGGCTTCCACCCTGGCAGCTGGGCAGGCGGCTGTACGACACAATGTTGCTTGCCGTGTGCTCATTCAAAACGTGAGCTGGGCAGGCATCTGCAGCGCGCCTTGCCCCACGACTCAGACGGCCCGTCATGCCCACGTCCATGTCCATGTGTGCGCGCTGTGCGCCCTCGCGGGCCCCCTCGTCACACTGGGGCTCGCGCGCAGGTCCAAGGCGGTGGACGGCGGCGCCAGGGGCGCGGCGCTGCGCCTGGGCGGCGGCATGCTGGAGCTCGACGCCGACCGGCGGCGGCGCCGCGCGCTGTACTTGAATCCGGCAGCGCCAGCCGCCTCGCCAGCTGCGGGCACGAGCGGGGGCCACGAGGCCAGGCAACGCGCTAGAGACGCAGCTGAGGAGGTGGGTCGGTGCGGCGGTCGGAGCGTTACTAGCCTAGACGACATAGGTTGTGATCGCTCGCTCGCGGTGCCTCACAAGCGTTCCCCGGCATCCGACACACATCTTGCCGCGCTCTATCTCGTCTACTATCAGCCCAACGGCGCCAGCGCGGCGGCGAGCCGCGTGCGCCAGCGCCTGCCGCCTCGGCCCCCTGGCGACCCTCAGGTTGAGGCCTGGATTAAGCGGGAGCTCCAGGCAAGTGGGCCTTGCTGTGGGCGCCGCGAGCGACCCGCAGCGCGCTGTGGTGCCAGAAAAGCACCCTTGAGGAGCCGCGACCCCGCCGGTGCACACAGGGATCTGTGTTGAGGGGACCGCAACTCGATGCGACGCCTGAGGCGCCCTGCTCTGGCACATCTTGGCCCTGCAAAGCGGGCGGGCGTACTCTGCTAGCCCGTCCGCATCGCTGCTTGCCTCCCTCCCCATAGCACCTCGCTCCTGCCCCCCCCCCTTCCCTCCAGGCCCTCCTGCTGGAGGCGGACGTGGGGCTGTGGCTGCACCAGCTGCTTGGCGTGCTCAGGGGCTGCGCGGCAGAGGGCCCCGGCGGCGGCTGTACAAATGATAGAGGCGGGTCGTCTTCTGCCAGCGGCAGGGGCCGACAGGCTGGCCGGCCAAGTGCACGGGGGTGGGTCTAAACCTGAAAACCTGAAGAGGGCGTTAGTCATGCATCCAACCGAGCCACCACCCGCTTGTGACCAGCAGTCAGTCATTGCTTATGTGCGGCTCCAACTGCACCATAGCAGCCCTGGGACGGCTCTCAACTCGTAACGCCTGCGGCACCCCTCCCTAGATTCAGGCCTGCGGGTGGCGTGCTGTCAGCAGGTGGACGAGGTTTTGCCGGCTATGGCGACGAACGGGTGTGAAGAGCCATGTGCGCGTGCTCGGCCGTGAACCCGCGGGTCTGCTGGTGCTCGTGGCACGTGATGCCAGAGTGTTGCGTTGAGACAGGTCTTGGCGCTTGGCGCTTGCAGATCTCAGTAGACAGGACTATCCCAAGCTAGAATTATTTTATTCTCACCTGCCAGGCGTGCTTGGAGAGGCTGGAGCTGGCGGCGCGCCCGGCTGTGGCCCAGCACGCGGCCAGGCTGGCGGGCGAGCTGTGGGGCTTTGTGACCTCTGGCCTGACCGTCGCAGCCCATGACCACGCAACGTTCGGCGCGCCTGGCAGCCGCGCAACTAAGCGGCGGCGCGCGGGGGCAAGCGACGAGGAGGACGAGGGCGGCGGCGGCGGGGGTGGTGGCGGCGAGGAGGGTGACGGAGGTTGGGCTGCGCGGGGCGGGGGAGAGGAGGGGCAGCACGGGGCACGTGGCCCGGGCGAGGCGGTGCTTCAAGACACGCTGGCCCGCCAAGACGGCTCGGCAGGCCGGCGGAACA